AAATTTAAATTTATCTAAAAAATTTGATATTTTAGAAATTTATTTTGCAAACATCTACCTTTTTTTACTTTAATTTTATCAAATTAATTATTAACTTTTTTTGTTATAACAATTATTATAAATTTTTTTATTGTTTAAAACCAAATCTGTATTGCAGCAATACATATATATGAAATTTAAAACTATTCCAGAAAGTTAGAAATTTTAAACATTTAGTGTGTAAAAATTTACTTAACTTTCTTTTTACATTAAATTTAATATAATATTACTTTTTTATAAATATTGTTATAAAAAGCAACGACCCTTTTTTTCTTAATTCTTTTTTTTTTTGTTTATTTTTTAAAACCATAAATATATTCTGGCAATTCATATTTACAATATTTAAAGTTATTGAAAAAATTAGACATTAATATTTTTCATTTATTATTTTTTTTTTTATGAAAAGTTATGATTTTTTCAATTTTTGTTTATTTTTTTATTGAAAGTGACTACATTTTTTAATTTTTTAAGTACTTTTTTTTTAATTTTTTTCATGCTTTTTTATTTTTTTAAACCATGAAAAAAAAATGTTTATTTATTATTATTTCTGTTATGAAAAGTTATGATTTTTTTAATCCTTTTTTGTTTATTTTTGTTATTGAAAGCTAACTATACATTTTTATTGTTTTTTTTAATCCATATATATACTCCAATAACTCATATTTATGAAATTTAAAGTTATGTGGAAATATTAGAAATTTAAATTTATTTTGTATACTTTTGTTTTCTTTCTTTTCTACATAAAATTTAATATTTTTTAAATACTAAAAGTTTTATTATAAAAAGTAACTATCTTTTTTTAATTTTTTTTTATACCATCTATTATTCTATTTTTAACCATATTATCTAATATATACTCACATTTAACAATTCATTATTACCTATATTATTACATATATTTATAAAATTTAATTAGTTTTGCCGATAAAACTACGCTTTCTTATAATGACAAAGAACCTATTTATTTTTTTTAAATTTAGAGGGTTTCGAGTAGCATCTTTAATAAAGGATAAACACAAAAATTTATATAAATATAAAATCTATATAAATATAAAATTTATGTAACTATAAATTCTATATTAAGATTCCATAAATTTAATTTTGTTTGATATGTTTTTAATGTGTTTTTTAATGTTTTTTTATTTTGTAAATTTATACTTTTCTTAATTTTTTTATTGTTTAAAATTTTTTAATTATTTATTATTATTTTTACTTTAAAAAGCAATTATCTTTTTTTTTTTTAATTTTTTATTGTTTATTATTTTTTTTTTATATAAAATATTATAAAAAATATTGCAGCAATTCACTTATATGAAATTTTTATTTTGCAAATACATATTTATTTTAATTTCTTTTTATATTATGTTTAATTTTTATTTATTTATTATACTTTTTTTACTTTTTAAAACGTAAAGCTCCTTTTTTTACTACTTTTTAGTTATTTTGCAAATATTTTTAATAGTTTATTTTTATATTAAGTTTATTTTTATTTATAAATAATTTCTTTGGTTTTTGTAAATATTTATATTAGTTCATTTTTATATTAAGTTTAATTTTTATTTATATTAGTTCATTTTCATATTAATTTAATTTTTATTTATTTAAAATTTCTTTAGTTTCAAAAAGTAAAGCTCCTTTTTTTTACTAATTTTGCAAATATTTTTAATAGTTATTTTTATATTAAGTTGAATTTTAATTGATTTATTATTCTTTTTCTTTTTCTTTACGTTACTTTTTAAACGATCCTTTTTTTCAGTTATTTTGCAAATATTTTTAATAGTTTATTTTTATATTAGTTTAATTTTTATTTATTTATAATTTCTTTTATTTTTGCAAATATTTATATTAGTTTATTTTTATATTAAATTTAATTTTTATTTATACTAGTTTAATTTTAATTTATTTATTATTCTTTTTGTTTGAAAAAGTGACGCAATTATCTATTATAATCTTTTTTAAACCATATCTATTGATATATTCAGCAATTCTTAATTATCATACGAACTTATATATATATATATAAACTATACATATTTATTATAAATGTTATATTAATATTCTACAGTGATAATTTTTTTTAAGTAAAATGAAATTCAAATTTTTTACAAAAAATACAATCATTTATTGCAAATATTTACTTTACTTACTTTTTACATTATTTTTATTTTTTTTATTTATTATTTCTTATTTTTCCAAGCTATATTTATATTCTAGAAATTCAGATTTCAGCTATAATTATATCCCAAAATGGCAACAAACTGAGTTTGGTGTATAATTTAAGTTCAACTGCAGTTACCATAATATGTAATTTCTTAGTTTTTAATTATTACGTACATTGCAAAGTAAAAAAAGAATCGCTAGAATTTTAAATATTTTATCATCAAAACAGTAAGCAATTTGGATTTTATAATTTAATAACGGTTTAACTATATTATTACAAAATGTAGCTAGTTTCTTGATGTGATTAAATTGAATTTAATTTTCACTTTTTAACAAATAAACAACGAACGCTTGCAAATATCATATATTTTCACATACGAAGCAATTGAAGACGATTCGAAGACGATCAGCGACCGATTAAAGAACACATTTTCAACTATAATTTTCTGATAAGAACGAGGACAACTAAGCGCGTTGAACTTCTTTGCAATACAAGCGGCAAAATGAAACTATCGCAGTTCAAGAAGCTTTCGCACAACTGCAGCGTACACACAGTACACAATACCAAAATCGAGACGGAAGTAAAAACAACAACGGCAACACAACGGCACTTGTTGGTTGTGCATGTAAGCAAAATAAAGTGGCAGCACGAGAGAAATAAACACGACCGCGAACTCAAAATACGAATTACACATAAACACACAAACACACAAACACACGAACACGTATACCGTATCAAGTGTAAGGAACTTTGCTTTTGCATTTGATTTACTTTATTGTGGGTAGCTTGCAACGAGGGTGCTTGGCGATGTTTTTAATCGCTCAAGCAAAATTTTGTAAGAGCACAAAGCACAAGAAATGGAAATGAACGCAAAATTTTTAAGAGACCGGCTTTTTTTGTCAATTTAAAATGAATTTAGTTTTCGGAGTATTTGTTTTTAAGTTTTGTTCTTGCTTTCAGAAGCGTTAAGTGTGTGTTTGTTTTTCATTTTTTTTATTGTATGTTTGTATACAATACTTATGAATGAATTTAAAAACAAAAAAACAATGAATTTTAAATTAGCAATAAAAAAGCATTTCGTGTTTTTAATTTATTTTTTTTTTTTTATTTATTGTAATTTTATGTATAATTTTTTTTTTGTTTTTAAAAATTATCAGTGTTCAAATCTTGAAAGTGTTTTCACGTAATTGAAACTATAAAATTATTTTATTTTATACGAGTCATCATTAATAGATTATTGCGGTTTTAATGTTTCATTTAAATAGCTCCAACGTTAAGGTCTAAACAAAACAAAAAAAAATACAATCTAAATACAATATAATCTATACAAGTTCAATGTGGTTCAAAGAGTCAAAGTCATTATTTCAAAGTCTTCCAAACAGCATTTAATTTGCAACAATGAAGGCATAGTGAGTGAAAAAAAAGGGAACTACCAGGTGTATGCATACTTATACTGGATATGTTTTTCTACTGGCCAATAGGGCTTTGAGTTGGGATCGCGATTCCCAATGGACGGTTGTAATGTCTAGTACAGAAGCAGCATACATCGCTTTATTGGTCACGGCAAAGGAAGTCATTCACGTTCGTTGTTTTCTCGATCCAATTTAGAGACAAAAACATGCTACAGTAATTTTTAACGAAAACCAAGGTGCAGATATGTTGAGCAGCAGAGTTACCATTCACTGCGAATTACACAAAACGGCAGCGACACATTTCAACAGTTTAATCAGCTCTTAAACTATTTTATAGAGTTCAGGCAGCTGTTATACACTGCTTAAATTTAAGAAGTTAAATTATTTTGATTCAGTCAGTTATACGCTTCTTTAATTTAATAAGTTTAATCAACTTGATTCTAGTTTAAAGCGATTTCGACACAAATCACAATGAGATGAAAAATGAATTGATTCCATATACAAGAGTTGATAAACGGAATCACATAAGTGGTGCTGATTTCAATAGAATCACAAATGAAATTGTGTGAAACATCGAATGCAAATTTGAAATTACATGAATTTATCAAAAAATAACCATTTCTATCGGATATTAATAATAATCAGTCAGTTTTTAATATTAATCACATTTGCAGAATGACAAATTCGACCAGTAAAATAAGTTTATTAATCTATTGTGCCCCTTATTCGGAATAGGGTGTTTCTCCAAGTCCGATTTCTTTAATGAAGGACAGGGCCTATTTTTCACACTCTTGAATCCTTATGTTTCATGAAATACCTCTGTTTTTCTAGTACATGATATGCGGTTTCTCTCTTTTCTCTACAGTATCTGCAATCTGTTGGATTAAATTCCTAACTTTGTTAGGTTATTATTCAATTTACAGTAACCAGTTAATAATCACGTAATAATTCTTAGGAACAACCTAAGAATTATTACGGAATTGTTTGTTCTATGCAGTCCTTGAAGTTTCAGATTGTAAGTTCCTAAAAGCGTTTCACATTATGATAGTCTTAGTAGATTTTCCCAATATAGTTATCTATATTTTTCCTCTGCGTCGTTCAAAAAAATGGATAGAGTTTCTTTGTCTAGAATGCAGAATCGTTCTAGGCCTATCACCTCTTCTTGCGGGTTTATATGTCATTCCATTGCCTTGTATACCAGCATGTTTCGGACTCCATATAAAGTGCACATGATGGTTTCAGCCAAGTATGTTCAGCTTGGCAATGCACTCCCGTACCAGTTTGGGTATCATTGTAGTATATATGCATATATAAAATAATTTGTAATGTCATATTATAAGTTTTTAAGATTATATAACTTATATTAAGGCTTTAAATAAAAGCGATTAAATAAAGACACACAGTTTATATAAAAAAAAACTGACTCATACTGCGTTTTATTTCAAGTTTCACATTGAATTTACTTCAAAATGGTTTTGATTAATTTGAATAATCATTGGTATAACTACTGTTTGCATTGATGAAATTTATTTTTCTCGTTTTCTTCATTTTTGATTTCTTCAAATGCGGTTTAATTTTAGCAGCCGTTGCAAAAGAAAAACTAGATAAATCAGTTAAGCTTGTAATCGAGTCAATAACATTTTCTCCAACTTTTGATGATTCTTGATCATCTTTCTTTGCTTTCTCTAAATATGTGTCGCAGGCATATGAGTGTTTATCAGATTTATTCAGTTCTCTCCTGTTTAATTCAAGTATTTGAGAGCAAATATCCTTATTGGGAATCGATAAGTCTCCTGATATTTTATAGCAACTTTTCTTTATAAAATCCTGCTCTTCTTTGCAACTAATATAACGCGATCCTGGTAGCGGATCCCGCCTATCACGTACAAAACCTGTATCAGGAAAATACATACCTTCCCCTATATCAAAATATTCATGCATGAAAATCTCGCGATTAGTGTATCTTTTAAAAAAATCGTCAGAGGAACGTATAATATCATTCCGATCTATCACTTCATTAGCAAAACATCTATTGCCCTCAGTTAAATATTTCCATTTATCAACTTTAATTTTATTTTCCTTAAATTCACCAACAAACTCAAGACCATCGTCGAACAATAATTCTTCAACTTTTTGCAATCGACCTTTCGAATAATGAACTTTAAAATCTAATTTGTATGGCGCTGGTAGTTGAAGACATCCAAATCCATTTAATTTTCCTTCATCAAAAAAACCTGTATATGTGGTACCATCTGGATATGTATAACGGCCAAAACCATGCATAAGTCTACTCTTATATTCACCAGCATAACTACTTCCGGTTACAAATTTTTCAGCATTCTTATTTTGATCAGAAAAGAAACTCATATTCTGAGGTAAATTCATTTTTCAAGTTTAAAAAGGTAAAAAATAATAAAACAATTGCAAAAAAAAAAAAAATAAAAATAAAATCAACTAAAAAGGTTTTACATTATTTTAGGAATACATATATATATTTGTATATATTTTTGGAATCGAAAAACAAAGCACACTATATAGGATTTTTAGATACCCGCATTAATTTTATTTTGGCATTTGATCAGGGAAATTCGAAACTTTAAAAGATATATTATCAGAATGGAAATCACTTTTAAATATTCATTATTACATATACAATAAAATGTAACATAATAGTCTATTTCAATTAATGTATATATAAATCAACATGAAAATAATTTTAATATTTTAATATTAAATTTTAATATTTAATTTTAAATTTTTAAAATATTACAAATTAGACCAATATGAAAAAAGTTCTGAAAAAGCACTTTTATACTGAGTAATTTTATTTACTCAATAAAGTAAGAATATAATATAATATAATAATATAATATAATATAATATAAAATAATATATATAATATAATAATATAACATTATTAATTATATAACATAATATTGTGGATGATTTAAAGTTCAAAAGAAAATTTCTTTGTAAGATCTTTGATTCTCCTCAAATTGTTAACAATTATTACATCTGAATCAATCACAAGCTCGATTATAACGTAATTATAGAAGACTAGAAGACGATGTTCCAAATGAAAACATCTTTTGAAAGATATCCGAATGATTAAATCGAGATAGCACTAACCCTCTTTGATGTACGAAAATGAAGAATGCGCATACACAATCACTGATGTTTTTGTCAGTGGTAGGTACTGATCAATAAATCTGCAAGTACTCTGTTCCTGGATAGGGATCAAAATATTCCTGAGGTAAGGTAATGTCTGTTATAAAGGGCGACTAAATTTACTAGACATAACCCGGTAATGTTTTAAGTTTAATTGTTTACCTCAAGACCTCCCAGAGGTAAAATCTGGTACTTTAAGATTCAGATCCAGTTGCCCACAAATACGGTTGTCCTGGAAACTGGAGCTCCATGAGTGAGTGTTATGATGGCTACCGTTAACATCTAATGTAACACAAAAAGAGTGTTGGCATTTATGCTTTTAGTTAATGTGAAGTTACACTTATTCAACCCAGTACTGTGAACAGTAGAGATTTAGATATGCTTAGCTCCTTAATAACATAGTGACTGGTGGAATTTTTACCAATGCATTATCTTTATACAGGTGTTAAGAACGTCCTGGTGTTAAGTGAAGAGCTTAACTTCTTTGTGTTTATACAACTGCATTTCTATATTGGACATGTTTTGAACTTAATCTTATGAAAGGCCTTATAAACAAAAAAGAATTATGCTGAAATATTGTGTGAAATAAAATAGTAAAAGACAAACTTTACTATAACAATAATTTAATCTTAAAATCATATATTAAGCAAAATGCCGGAAAGAGGGTGTCATAAAAGCTAACAGAAATGTATTAAATTGATGATTTCAAATTAAATAAATTAGAAATAGTAATAAACGTTCTTATATTTTAATACAAAGTTTTGGTAAATATTACTAATTTCCTACTCTCAAGCCCTCTTCATGCACCATATGTTAGGTAACGTTAGTGACTTAGAAAATGATATAGTGTGGATCTGTAGGTCGAAATTGCATATCATTGCATATAGTTTGATATCAAACTGGTTTTTGAGATGAAACAAATGTCTTGCTATGTAAATTAAAATATCTAGGGATATATATGCAAATGTAATACTAGGAATTCAGGGTATTAGTATCCGAAAGACTTTGGATTGACAAAAACTCAGTGGTAAAAACAATACTATCAAGAGAACAAATGCATATCAAAGCGCACTGCTTACCAACACCGCGTAATCGAATCTCAGAATGGTTAGAGGCTCCTCGAGGAGGTATGCAGATGTGAAGTCAGTTATTGCTTAGTCTGATGAAGTGAAAAACAATAATCCAGTCAAGGCGTAGAGAGGGGTTATGAAGAAACCTCGCAGTTAGTAGAGAGTAAAGATGCTGAAGTGCACTGACTCAACTAGCCTCAACATAATAATCATTAAATAATGATGATATCCACATAACTCTATTTTATAGCTTTCATTAAAAAAAATATTATAACTTTTATAAAAAAAAATTTTAGCATTTAAAATAAAATTATAAATTTTCTATGACCAATTCTGTGACCGTTACTATGATATATGAGAAACGATTATTGATAATGATAAAATTGTATAAAATTTTAAAAATGAAAAATTTAAAATAAAATTAATTATCTCATACATTTCTGGATTTCATTACGTTTTTAACTATTCATTTTAATAATTACAAAAATATTCACACTCCATAATGACGCGGTTCGACAAACGCGAACCTCAAATGGAACAAAACGTTGGAAAAAAGCACTTGAATGCGATTTTACATTGCAATTAAGTTTCGAACACAATCTGAAATGATGAATGTGCAATTGCACTATTGCAGATTTTATTGACAATTTAATTATTGTAGCTGGTAATAAATGATTCACACTATTCACCTCTATATCTTTTTTCAAGAATTTTATTAAACATCACAGCAGGTGGCTACTTAATTTATATTCCCAAAATGCAAAAATTGACTGAGAACGCGTGTGTTCTAATGCAAACAATGCTGCACGTGCTATAGTCGGCGACTGTTTAAAATATAGATACTCCTTATAATAATAATACCAATATAACAGATTGCAATATTTTTTTTTTTTTTTAAAGATAAAATACAATGAATTGATTAATAAAGTTAAACATTGAAAGAGACGACATGCACGTAATATTTTAATGAAATGTACTTGCAGTTGCTCAACAGCTTAATTACAAGTCAAATTTCAAAATTTAAAACAAAAAACTCTGTATGAACATGAATTTTAATCTAAACGTAAACTAAACTACAAATTTCCGGCTAACACAATTGCTAGCTACCTTTTCTTCTTGGTTCTGTTAACTTCACGTGGAGCATAAGGCCTCCACAACTCCTTTAAAACTTATTCTATTTCCAGCAACTTGAGTAATATCGTTCCATGTATAATGTGCGGCGGCAAGTTCTACACCAATTGTTCTTCTCCTCATTTCAGATGGCGTCCCCGAACATCGCTTACCTTGAAGACTTCATCTAAGAGCTGTATCTGCAGAGTTTCCGCAGTGTCTTCCCAATCTAGTGCCACTTCCCCTTTTTGACTTCGATTTCTGCCTCTGTCTCTTCTCCACAATACATCGTTTGAAATTCGCCTTGGCCACCATATTTTGAATATGTGTCTTAGGCACTTATTGACAAAAACAAGAATGTGCGACTGAATAGAGTCCAATTCCATCCCATTGCTACCTACATAAATAAATAAGTCTGGTTTTAGAAGGTCCAACGAATGTTGATGATTTGCTTCTTGTTAGAACATTTTACAACAACTATCAATTGTTAGACCAGACCGCCTTAACTAAATACAACAAATCGAAGGTCGATACAAATAATCTATCAGAAACTCTGCAATAACATCAAAAGTATGCTATAGTCTACTCATCTGTGAAAAATACTTATTTAAAAATTATTCTAACATATAGAACATGCAGTACATTCTGACTCCAAAAGAAGCTGGTCGCTTGCTTCTGTAAACCCACATTCCAAAATGTCTTATAGTAAACAATTTCAGTACAAATGTTCAATATATAAAGTTAAGACAGTGTAGGGATTATAATTTGACTGAAAAGAATATTTCCTCTATACCACTTAATTTATGCGCGATATTCTTTCAGTCTGTTTAAACTGTTTGGATCAGATAGTATATGTTATACCAGTGCTTTAAGATATTTAGATTCATTTTTTTTAGACTACATTCATTAATCTTGGACCAAAATCAGAGAAGAATCAAATCCAAAGACCGAATTTACTTTCTCGATTGAGGTAATTCTGGAATAATTTTTTCAATCGAGAATCTTTTTTATAATGAACTTCTAGTAGAATTTTCATTTTTGATTGGTACATCTGGGGCAAAATAAATAACACTCGAGATTCATTTATAACATTCTAGCGAATTGATTAGAAATTAAAATATCATCGTGGTAAGGTGCCTGTAGTAAAAGACGACTAAAATTTACTAGGTACCACTTTGTTATGTTTTCAATTATAATTGGTAGCAGTACGTTTTCATTTATAAGACCTCCCAGAGATAAAATCTGGTAGCAAATCTGAATCACGGGATCCAGATCAAAATCCTACAAAAATGTTAGATTACTCTAAAAATGTTTGATTGAGTAACAAAATTTGACAAATCGATAGTAAATGTAGATGGCTTTCAGATTTACCAATCGAAAAGCCATTAGTTAATTTTATAATATATAATGGACAAAATAATATAATGTGAACTTGCTTAAGAGAGAGACCACATAAAAACTACTTAATTAAATCTTAAGGAGCAAGTAATTTTGTGAATTAATACGAGTTAGATTTTATTAACATTACTGTTATGATAGTCTTACAAGGTAGTTAATCGCTCTGTCTCTATAGTTAAGACCCCTTAACAACTATGTACGAGTATTTGTACAATATACCCACGATTCACAACTTTTAACTTTAAAGGAAGCATACATAACATTTGATTTCTGAGGACATCTACATCACAGTAAGTTTCTTTCTCAAGACAAGCAATGTCTAGAAATGCACCTATAGTAACTCTTTATATTACTCATTGATTTAACTTTATTTCCTTTTTAAATATTTCATTTATAGTATGAAATTTCATTATGAATATATAGAGATTTTATAACAAAATAACTTAAGCTCATGCTGGTGGGCATTTTGAATGTATCTATTACTTCTCAAATCAATAAAAGGGCTCATAGCAATGAAAGTACTAAATAAACAAATTTTTATTTATTTTATATACTTTGTCATCAACTTTATTGAATGTGTGAAAATATTGTTAACATTTTTATTGCATCTAAATACCTTTGAAGCTGATAAGAATCTATTTTTGCACGTTGGCGAGATCAAAGCGATTTTGTTATAATATTATGGACTTTCTATTTTTATCAACAAAATAAACAAATTATTTTGATATATTTTATTTGATGTAATTATTAGATTACATGTTTACACATATTCATTCCAGGCAATAAATCAATTTACTATTGACTTACTATTCACTGATGACTGGATAGTAAGTCACTGAGGACTTTAAGAGTTAATAGTAAGTCAAATCAAATCAAAGATTTGATAATAAATATAAACAAATATTAGGAGTATTCAGAATGTACTCAGTAGTTCCGATATACGATAAGGTTTTAAGTATAATTTATTTTTGTGGCTTAAATCACAAAAATATATTATAACGAATGCTAAGTTCGATTTCAATAACCTCAACACTAAAAAGTAGAAAGTGAAAAAAAAATTAAAAAAATTAATAAAAGAAAAAATGAAAAATATCAATAAAAAAAAATTAAAAAATTAATAACACCAAACTAAAAAAAATTAATAAAAAAATTAATTAAAAGCAATTAAAAAAATTAATTAAAACAAATTCAAAAAACTAATAAAAGAATTTAAAAAAATAATAAAAACAAATTTAAAAAATTAATAAAATAATGGTATACGATATGTGCATAACGACTATGATATTTTTTATTTAATCTTAAGTTTGTTTTTATATAAGTTATTATATAAAATTATAATTTTTTAAAAACACGACTTAAAGCCCGCTAAATTTAAACACATAAGTATTGAGGTCGATATTAGTATAAACATTTATAAAATTAAGAAAAAAAATTAAAAATTATTAACATTTTTAATGTTAATTAATTTTTAAAAGTTTTAAAAATTAATATAAAAAATTAATAAAAAAAATTAAAAAATTAATAAAATGATAGTCTTCGAAGTGAACCAAAATATTTGTTAAATAAAAATATATATATAACAACTGTGATATTTTTTATTTAATCTTAAGTTTCATTTTATATAATACAAATTATTATATAAAAATATAATTTTTTAAAAACACGACTTAAAGCCCGGCAAAATTCAAACATATAAGTAATGAGGTCAACACAAATATAAACATTTAAAAAATTAATAAAAACAAATTCAAAAAGATTAATAAACAAATTTAAAAAATTTTTAATTAATAAAAAAAAATTTTTTTTTTCTTAGAAATAAAACATAAAAAAATTTAATAGACTACTTTTTGGTAAAATTATTATCACCGCCACATTTGACACTTTTCTATTGGATTCTCACGTTGACCAAGCGAACACTTAAAAGTCACGCCAAATTCAGGCATATTTGCGACGGTCTCTATAACACGTACATCATCACTGTCATGACCTATTGGAGCTGGTAGTGTTCCACAGAAAAATTGTGCAAAATTAAGAAAATACAACTGCTTTGCACTGAATTCATTAGAAAACTCCATATATTCCGGAAAGCTTGCATTAGCGGCGTCGAAGTATGCGTCATAGGCCAATTGGAAGCCATTAACGTCCGCAATCCGCTCGATAAGTGCTGTGGTTGGAGAGCGTGTCAAGCACTTCACTGCTGCGGCAAATTCGGGTTGCTGTTTTGTGGTTATTGCAAGTGGCATATTAACATTGCCGAGTTCATCATACATAATGCCTTCGATTTCGAAGGCATGTTGCATTTCATGTGCCAATATCCAACCAACAACGCTATATTGAAACAAAGGATTCAATGCATTATGAAAAAATGGCATACTCATAAAAATGAGAGGCACAATTAATAGATTCCGTTGATGCACGAAATAAGGCGCATTACGTATTTGAAGTAAATCGTCATTGACATAGAATTCATCCTCATTATAGGCCTTCATATGCACAACGGCGGAGTGTTGCTGCTGTGTACGGAACTGCAATAAAATCAAGTGATTGTTAAAAAAATTAGAAGATGTGATATTAAGTGCGGTGTAGTAAGAATTGTAGTATTGTAAGGATGTATATTGTGGCAGATTTCCTAATCGTAGCTTCATTGTATTTAATTTTGCTAGAAGATAACTTTGTGATTCGTTGCTTAGTTGTAATTTATTTTCCTTCAGTTGTTGGTCAAATTTTAATTTTAATTTTTTAAAAATATTTTGCAAAATTCTCTCATCATCGTTATATGTTTTATATATGTGATGTTTATAAATATAATCCATACCCAGAGGCATAACAACACCCATATGATCAATGCAGCTTTTCGTAAAGCCTATATCTTGTAGATATTTAAATAAATGCAACTGTATGTACATATAAATGACTTTTTCATCCTTCTGGGAGAGCAAAGCAGCAACGTCACGCATATAATCAATAGACGACACAGCAATTTTCAATTCAGGCTGCGCTACTTCATCTAATAAAATATTAAAATATAGTTGCCAGTCTATATTGGGCACAACATGTTTGAATTGTTGTAATGTCAAAATCATGCCCACTCCCTTTTCCTCCTGATATTTCAAACGTAAAGTTTTCAACTCTTCATCGAATTCATATAAATTTAGTGAGAGTTTAATTAAATTTTCACTTATCTCATTAGTTAAACCCAGAGCAAAATACGATTTCACCAAATCATAATTATTTTCTAAATTATGCTCGTCACTAGGCATTTCTATTTCTATAATCGAACTCATAGAGTCATTAAATGAAAAACCTACAGACTCATCTATAAATATACCATTTAAACCGAATCTACGTAATTCAGCAATATGTCGCAACCAATTGAAATGATTCAAATGTTGCTTCCAGTAGTCGTCTTTCCACATCGGCGCATCTATTAAATCTGTCCAATTAAGTGAAGTACTAAGTGGTAACGCTTGCAAATATTCTTGCATAGGCAAATAGTCATTCTGACCTTTCTTGCATGCTATATAATAGGTGTGTAACTTTTCTAATAACACATTTTCTTTTATTTCATTCTTATATCCGGATGTCTCAAAAAAATTTTCAAATTTCTTTACATAATATTTGTTTACCACCCCAAAATTATCCACGATATCATAAAATAGTCCCGGTGACCACAAACCGCAGGCATATTTCCAAAAATTTTCACATGGAGTAGTGTTATTATCTACGTTCCGAGTTATCAGTGATACAATTTCTTCATTAATATGCGACAAGCAAGAAGCGCGTTCACCGCAATCCGAAACTAGAAGATAATCGCCATGTGCGTTCGCAGTCCAAAAAGCCGGAATAAGTAAAAATTTCAATAAAATGAACAAATTCGATTTCGACATTTTTAGCGAGTTTTTCGATTAATTTTTACCTGCTTAACAAATTGAAATCAATTCAGCAACTGTTTTTGAGATGAGCTACTAGGTTGGTATATTTCCAATATTATATTTAGTATTTACACACATACAATACAATATACAGTATACGTACATATATATTGTATTTTAATATTCATGCTTATCTTCTCATAAAGCTTGGACTTGTTTTTGTTCTTATAAATCTACATTGTCTCGTTTGTCTTGTTTTTTTTTTTAATTGCCAATTTGATCTATCCAAATTATTTAATCTCTTTAAATTAAGTGCACTTCAGTTCGGCTTCATCAAAATGATTGACTTTATTTATACAAAATTCAAAACAAAATAATTTTTGTTTTCTCGTTACAAAAATTATACAAAAAAAGTATCTTTAATAAATATTAGAATTTATTCTTTATTTGGGAAATCTTGACATTGAAAAGTAATAGTGGAAGCAGAAGAATATAATAGATTCAATATTAAATAAGCTATGTCAAATAAGAAAAAAAAGTGTTGAAAATATCCGTGGTACAACTCTCCTCGATACGGTGGTATTATATACAAGACTTCAAAAATGCTCCAAAGCTTTACTACCCACCCAAGTATCACTACAAATTTTGTATGGAGAAATCAACGAATCAAAATAGTCTCCCATAACTTCAAAGAATCTATCAGATGAGGTGTTGGTGATTTTGTCATAATGGAAAATACCGAATATCGCACAGAGGTAAAGTTCTTTGTTTTAGAAAATTTATATCCCTCATCCAACTATGCATCGATAGGTTTTAGAGTTTAAACGTTGCGTTGGAGATGAACCACGTAGTGGACGTCCAAAAAATGCAACAACACTAGAAACTATTGAGAATGTCTAAGATATTGTTCGTAGGAATACAAGTTTGACTATGCGCGATATTGGTGATATCATAGTAGTCTATATTTTAAGAGAAAAGTTACGTATATAAAATAAATTCAAAAAGTTGGCAATTCAACAAAAACTGTATCGATAATAATTTTCTCAGCTTAATCTGCAGCATTTTAAGAAGATTGAAACCGATTTTGTTCGTCGTTTTATAAGTATGAATGAGTTCTGGATCTACTATCATGATCCTAAACTAAAACAAGAAATTTCACAGAGGACTGAAGCTGGTTGTTCAACACCACAATAGGTGAAGTCAGATAATTTGGAGAAAAGGTTATGGCATCAGATTTCTGGGAAGCACAGGAAGTTTTATTGATTGATTCTCTTGCAAAAAGCAAAACAATTAGTTCTGAATGTTATTATTATTTTTAGACCAATTATTGATTAACAAGTAATTCCTTATGGTCCTGCCAGCTGAAATATAAGATCACGCAATAGAGGTCGTCACCCAACAAATCGATGATAAAATGTTCAGCAATATACAAATGAAGTTTGAAGAGACTGGTGATACTGTGAGTAGCTAAACTGAATGGATATATTGCATTTCACATAAATATTTGCACATCAAAAACATATCCGTGCGATTACTCACACTCGGCCATAAGCATTATCGTGTGACTTTTTCAAAAAATATTTAGCAGGGTTTCAAAATTGTGAACGAACCATGGATTGACCATAACCCAGGATTGATCACCAGAGATCATGAAACAGCCAAAGCATTTAATGGTGCCAAAATCTCTTTAGAGAAAGTTAAAAAATTTTCTTGATCATACTAGACTATTAAATAGCTCTTTTTCACATATGGATCTATCATAAACAAACAGAATATATCAAAAAATTCAATAAATATAAAAGATAAAATTAAAAACAACCGTATTAATATGCATAAGTTCAAAGTCGTTTAAGCTATAGCAAATTTTAAAAACTGAACTGAAAAACACAAACCAAGTACGAGCTTAGTGCGAATTAGCTTTATATAATTATCTTTCCTAGTAGAGGATAAATATAAAAGAAAGACGTAATATATGGTAGCTTAAGATAATCCATTAGATAGTGTTTAAATGAATAACTCCCATATAATTTTAAATACAAAATTTAAATATTTATTACTTACCTTACTGTTGCGTATCCACACGAGTTTAACTTAGATTAATTTATCAATGGAATTTGTCGAAAAAATACACTTGAATTACTATGTTTTATTACCAATCCAGAAAACCAAATCGCAAATGATTACTAACCTAAAAGAGATAATAAGCCGATTATTACAACACGTAGTAGTCATATTTACTTTACTATCTCTAAAGTAAAATACAATTTCTTTGAATTAAAAAAAAGGATGAGTTATAAGACACTTATATTATGTTATATGACCATATGTTTTCAGTTGTGGAACTTTCCTACTGCTATGATGATTTTTTGACATCGCTTTTTATTTATTTTTATTGGTAGGGAGAGCCGCGATCATAATTAATCTTTAATAGTAACAACTGCCAATAACCAAAGAGAACCCAAGAGACTAAAATATTTCTTGTTAAGATATTTCTATTTTAAGACGGAGACATGAGCACTTGGTTCTGTATCAGCACTCCTAAACGATGTGACTAAAATTGTTCTAAATTTTTGACTAAATTCTAATACTTCTAGATATTTAAAGAAACATTTCGGTAAGTTTTACTTTAAAACTATACTTTTTTATTCCTTGCTTATTTGGTACCAATAACATAAACATACCTTTTATTTGTCTAAACATCAGAATCAGATCGACGTAAATCTAGCTTACCTACGCATATAATTGCTATTAAATGATTCCACTAAAAATATCTTTCTCCAAGAATTTATGCCTACTTTATACTAAAAATATATACTAAATAGACACATATTGTTATGAAAACAAATAATCGAATCATATCGAATAATATAGTTGATATAATCAAAATATTTAAGAAGAGAACGATCAAAAATTTCAAAATTAGTTAATAAATAGTGAACTAAAAACCTTAACACTAAAAATGATGTCAGCCTAGAGATTCAACGAAGAATCACTCATGCCAACAGATGTTGAGAAATAAATCCCTCTCTTGACAAACAAAAATCACGCTCTACAAATCTCTTATCATGCCTGTCCTGCTGTATGGTGCAGAAGCTTGAACAACTACCAACAGTAATGAGAAGGTGTTAGGAGCAATCGAAAGAAAAATTCTTCGGAAGATCTATGGTCCCTTACGCGTTGGCGACGAAAATCGAATAAGATCGAACAATGACTTGTATGAGCTATACCGGGACATTGACATCGTTAAGTGCATAAAAATTCAGCGGCTTCGCTGGCTTGGTCGTGTTGTGCGAATGTAAGAAAGTGTTTCGGTTAGAAAGGTGTTTGATTCAGTACCCACATGTGCAAAACGCGGTAGAGGACTTCCGCATTTTCGGTGGAAGGACCAAGTGACCAACAATTTGGGGGAGCTCGGTATTACCCAATGGAGACAGCAAGCAACTAATCGGGCTGGCTGGCGGAGATTACTCAACGCGGGTCAAAGTTAATAAATAAGAACAAAGTATTGTTGCTTGGTTTTGAACATTTTAATTTATTTCATAATTAAAAGTAACTATTATTTAATAATAAAATAATAAAAATGAAAATATTTCAATTTACAAATAAAAATTTACAAAAAAAAAAAATCAATTCTTTTTAAATTTATTTTTGTTTTTAACTTTAGAATTTTTGATTTGTCCAATTTGTTTGGATTTCTGTTTTATTTTATTTAATTTCTTAATAGGTTTTCCTTCAAGTAATGGAACGTCTTCAATTACTTTTTTCTTTTTGTCTACGGTTTTATCTAGTTTTTTACTTAATGTTTGATTTTTTGATTGTTCCTTTTTACTACCATCTTTTTGTGTGGCACTTTCTTCAGTTACTTTTTTAACAACTTCTTCCATTTTATCTATTTTTTTCTCTGATAATTTAAGGTTCCCTTTCTTCTCAGCTACTTTGTTTTGTTTTTTAAACTTTGCGCTTTTATCCAATTTTTCTTTCGGTGAGATATGTTTAGTTTCCGTTTCTTCAGTTTTCTTTTTCTTTGCTATTTTAATAGGTTTCTCAAAAACATTTGCTACATATTTCTTTTTACCTTGTTCCAATTTTCTCTTCTTAATATCCTGCTCTACTTCTGTTAGCAATGGTTTACCTGCACGCTTAGATGGTTTTTTAGGCACGGTTTCTTCAGAACTTTCATTTGCATTATCTGTATTCTCTGTACTGGTTTTACTGTCTCCATATGTGGCAGCAATTGCTTCGTCCAGTTGCTTTTCATCTTCCTCTTGTTCTTCCTTTGTTATTGGAATAGTATTCGAAAACTTCTTGAATTTTGCAACAAAAAATCCATCCATATTATGCGTATGCGGATAATAACGTCTAGTAAGATTCAAACTAGGATGAAAACGAAATTGTCGATATTTGGTAAAACCTTCTACACCAAAGTCAAGTCCTGTAGGTACCAATTTAACATTGCGCTTTTTCAGTACATAATCAACTACCCATTCATTTTCCTCGGGTAGAATTGAACATGTTGAGTACACTATATAACCACCAGTAGTTGATTTCGCATTCACACAGTCAATAGCTGTAAGTAACAATTTGCGCTGTAGATTGTAACAACGCTGCACATCCACAGAAGATTTTGTCGTCTTGACACTTGGATCTTTTGCTACAACACCAGTACCTGTACATGGTGCATCCAATAAAACACGATCGAATCCAGTCATTACAGATCGAAATTTGCAACCATCTTCACAGCTTACTATGCTGTTTATAATACCCAAACGATGGAAATTAGCTACAATAGCCTTAGTGCGATCACGGTTAGCATCATTTGCAAATAATACTCCAGTATTTTTCATTATTGAAGCAATATGTGATGCTTTGCCACCAGGTGCAGCACACATATCTAGAATACGTTCATTTTCCTGTGGCGCCAACGCCATTACAGGAAGCATAGACGAAGCCCCTTGTATCATATAATGGCCAGCTAAGTACTCTGGTGTAGCTCCAAGTGGAACTTGCGCATTATATATAACTAAACCTACTTTAGTCCATTTTCCTAAAGGATCTAAGTTGACACCCCGATTAATGAGAGCTGCAGCCAAATCTCTACGACGTGTTTTTAAAGAGTTTGTACGAATTGTCAATGGTCGAGCCACCTGAGTTTAATTAAAATATTTTTTTATAAAAATTAATTTAATTTTTTAAGACCATAAAAAGGTTATAAAAATAATACGTAAGTATTTTCAACAGTGTGATACAATATAAACAAATGAAATGGTAATAATATTTAATTGATAACAATAGCAAGCAAAGCCTTATAAATTTGAATAAATAATTAATCTAAGAAGAAGCATGAAAAGTAGTACAAATATTTTAATTCTTAAGAAGTAATTGAATATAAGACAGAGTAAAGGAAAAACCGATTTTAAAATGGTATATTTTATACCACAACAGTACATTTGTTATTGTTGTAACCCGCTGGGACCTACTTGTGAAATCCTTTTGGGAGGTGTCGAACAGCACCTGGCTGGTGATAAGTGGCTCCGGGACGTAGACCCGGCCGTTCTTTAGGAAACTAACAGTACATTTACATTACTCTAATTAACTCCAAAAATGAATAGCAATTAATGTTAATTTTCACACTAAATCCATACAAAAATGTACCAATGATATTCGAAAGTTATAAGTGTAAGCATAGTATTAAATAAGCAAATAAAGATATAAAAATTTAAAAATTAAGCATTGGTGTAAAAAATAAAAAACCAAATTATATAAAATTATAAAAATAAAATCATAAAAAAATATTAAAAAATTATAATTAATTAAACACTTAAGTTTTGATTAAAGTGAGCATTATGTTGAAATAATAAAATAAATAAAATACAGTTAAATGATATTTACCTCCGACGATTCTAGATATTCCATCAGTTCTGTTAAAGGGAACATATCCATTAACTTTTCCATTAAGAATTCATTATAACTGTAATATAAACACAAGTCTTGACGTAACAAAGTTAAGTATTCTGGACGTGATCTATCAGGTTGGCGATATTTTTTGAAATCCGATAATACCAAAGTAATATCCTTTATGCGTTGTTGAACTTCTTGCAATGTAATTTCCTTTTCCGGATCTTCATTTTCATCGGGAAACCGAAATATTTCTTGATTATCAATTGACATTTGCATTTCAGCAGCAGCTAATTTAGCTTCCTTTTTCTCACGCTGCTTAAGCTTTTTATTTGCACTTTCAATAGGCAAGAGATCATCATCTTCATCACCATCCTCATCATCATCTATATCAGAATCGTTTCCAGCTTTTGTTTTATTTAATGCATCCTCATCTTCTGATATATCAAAATCATCATCTGAATTTGCTTCGTCAGAAAGATCATCCAATTTACCAACTTTTAATTTGTCAGTAGTGTTTTCTTCATCACTTTCGTTTTCTTCTGCTTCATTTTCGAAATCATCATCATCATCATCATCACCACTACTGTCATCTTCAGCCTCTTCAATATTATCACCGTCTTCCATGTTGTCACCATCAGACAGCTCTTCATCATCATGTTCATCACTATTATCTTCGTCGTCGCTATTAAATTCTTCACTAACTTCAACTTGTGCTTTAGATTTTTTCTGTTTGGGTTTTAACCATTCCTGATTTTCGTCAGTGAATCCATTTGTTGGTAATAATTTTTTGATTTTTTTCTGTTTAGCAACTCCATTAAGACCCTGGTCTTGTTGTATATCAGCTTCATTTTCATCCTCACTGTCGCTGTTGTATTTCTTCTGTTTACTTGCTACTTTGTTATTTGCTTTATTTTGTTTCTGTTTAGCTTTTTGAACTTCTTTTTTCTGAACTCTTTTAGCCACTCGTTGTTTTTGACGATGTGATAATTTCTTGTCTTCATCATCCAGAGGAGCTAAATATATACAAAAATACGTTTAATTAATTCTCCTTAATGCACATGTAATTTTATTACTTACCAAAAGACTTTTTTGGAAATGTAGGAGCGCCCTGCTTGCGTGCCTTACGACCAGGACCCTTTTTGACTTTCGTATCATACTCAGCTTTTCGTCCCATTGTATATTTGTTTAATTATTAAGGCCAAATTAAATAAAAACTTATTTATCAGAACGCTTCATACACAGCACGTGGAAGCGGCAACAGAACAATCAAATGCAATAAAAGGGTGTTGTGTAGTCAAAAAAGTATTTTTGAAACTATACGTTTTTTGTGTTTATTTTATATGTGAAAAATAAAAAGTTAAATTACTTTATTTAATGTATGAATTTATGTTTATATTTTTATTTTTAGCGTATATATTATTTATTACTTAAAATATTTACTCATTTTAAATATATTTATATATATTTTAATAGAATTAAAAGTGCACTATTTTGGGGTTGCCTTTCGTAAACAAATACGAAAAACATATGGGTCGGTAGTACAGTGCACGACATGACAACTTTGCAATTATCTTGTAATTCTATAATTCCATTTAATGTCATTTATTGATTTATTTTTTATTAAAAAGTATTTATATTTGTGCCGTTGAAGTGTTAGCAGACGCATTAAGCATAATTAATTATTAGAATTATGTTAAAAATATATATAAAACATTTCTACTTTTATACGAAATGAATTGGTCAAGTTTAGAACTTGGTTCTGAAGCCATAATAGGCTCTTTGCTGGCCTTAACTGCGTTGTTTTTCTTTTGTCGCAGCTTATTAGTGGAGGATGTTGTCTGTATACCAGGAAAAACACGTCATAGTTGGAAATCTATTAAAATTCTAAATAAGGTATTTATAGATTTTTTAAACAAAATTATTGCAATCTACAAAAAAAAATATAAATTATTTTAGCCATGCTATTGCAATGCATGTGAAGTATTGCTCACACCTTCTGCGGGACTGTTTTGCGATTGTTGTGGCTTATGCACCCATTCCGCACCTGTCTGTACCAAACTAATAGACAGCAAATATCGCTGTAAAGATAAATTCCTGCGTAATGAAACATCACTAACTCATCTTTGGGTACATGGAAACTTACCATTAGGAATTACGTGCAGTGCTTGCAATGATGAAATCGACTACCAGGCTACACCTGGATTATTTGGTTGGCGTTGTTGCTGGTGTCAACGTTCATACCATAACAATTGCTATAAACAAGTGGATGTGAGAGGCAAATGTGATTTAGGCGAATTTAAGGATTTAATATTTCCACCATATTCCGTTGTTGCGGCACGCACTCGAGAATCTGTACGTTTGCATTTAGCTGGTATAAAGCCACCAGATATCGAAAATTGGGAACCACTTATTGTTATTGCAAATACACGATCTGGCAGCAGCACTGCGGCAGATGTGTTATCACTACTACGTGGATATTTGCATCCATTACAAGTGATGCAACTCTGCACACGTGGGCCACATGATGCTCTACAATGGGCCATTAAAGCTCAACCACGACCATGCCGTATACTTGTAGCTGGAGGAGATGGTACAATTGGTTGGGTACTGAATACAATATATAGCTTAGGCATAAAGGTGTGCATGCAGTAAAGGTGAGAATAGGAAATAATTTTTTATAATTGAAAAAAGTTTATTTTAGCCCATACCAGCAGTAGCTATTCTGCCACTTGGCACTGGAAATGATTTGTCACGTATACTTGGTTGGGGAGCAGAACCACCGGAATTAGATCCTATACAGATATTAAAAAATGTAAGTGAAAATATTATTTTTTGTTCTTTTTTTTTTCTGCAATTAAAATAATATATTTTAATAGGTAAAACGTGCACGGGGTATTAATTTAGATCGATATGATTTACAAATTGAAAAGCTACATTATCGTTTACCCATAAAAAGACATCCCATGAAAACTATACACGTCTATAACTATTTTAGTATTGGTGTTGACGCGCTGGTAACGTATAATTTTCATAAGACGCGTGAGTCGAGATTTTATGTGCTAAGCAGTAGACTTTTTAATAAGGTAAAAATAAATTAATATATTAAAATTTTTGTAACTATGTGAGTATAAAGAGTTTTTTTTTATTTAAGCTACTCTACTTTACTTTTGGTACACAACAAATAGTTCAACGGGATTGCGAGAATATTGAACAAAACTTCGATCTTTATATGGATAGTCAAATGATTTCGCTGCCACCTCTGCAGTCTATTGTTTTTCTTAACATTGATTCTTGGGGCGCCGGTTGCAAATTATGCGGTAAAGAAAGAATTACTCCTAAGAACAAGGTTTACACATTTCCATTAAATTTGGTAATTAAATTTAATTTCAAATAGCACTTTGGAATGCAGATTCAAATGTTAAAATGATAAATTGCATCTCAGACAGCAGTTTAGAAGTTTTTGGTATCGTGTCTTCTTTCCACATGGCACAGCTACAATGTGGCATTAGTAAGCCTGTACGAATTGGACAAGCTAAGCAAATCAGAGTAAATATATATAAATTGTTATTAATATTTAGTTTTTATTTTTATTACTGAAATGAAAATGAAATTCCAGATTGTTGTTAAAAATCCGTGTCATATGCAAGCAGATGGAGAGCCATGGTTGCAGCAACCTGCCGACATACATTTGCAATCACGCAGTCAAGCACGTATGCTTAGATTGGACGAAGGAAATTCGAGTGATTTGAGTGATTCCTAAACAGTACTTAACACAAAATATATGAGGGCTATTAGAAGTTATTAAGGTCATGTCGTTAATTGAAACAACTAAGTCAAATATATCAAATTGCTAACTAAAAAGAATCGGAGAAATAATAAAAGGATGTCAAACCTCAGAAGTATAGAGAAATAACAAAAGGATGTATAAAGTAAAAGTACGTCTACGATAAGAAAAAAATATGAAAAAAACCAAATCAAATATAAAATATATTGCCAAGTTAATATATGAGGGCTATTAGAAGTTATTAAGGTCATGTCGTTAATTGAAACAACTAAGTCAAATATATCAAATTGCTAACTAAAAAGAATCGGAGAAATAATAAAAGGATGTCAAACCTCAGAAGTATAGAGAAATAACAAAAGGATGTATAAAGTAAAAGTACGTCTACGATAAGAAAAAAATATGAAAAAAACCAAATCAAATATAAAATATATTGCCAAGTTAATTAAACTGAAGAAATAATAAAAGCATGTAAAAATTAAAAGCACTTCTATGATAAGAAAAAAATATGGAGAAACTAAGACATAAAATGCCAAATAATATTAAATTGGATAATTAATAGAAGGAAGTAAAAATTACGTTATAATTAGCAAAAAAGTAATATTTGAGAAATATACAAAAACTATATAAACTTAAGTGGATTAATATGCCAAATAGAGTAAAACAAGATTTAATATGAAATATAATGAATTCCGATAAATATAAATAAATAAACTTAAGTGAATTAATATGCCAAATTAATTCCATTAAATATTACAAGGACAAGAATATTAAAGAGCTTCCATTAAAGGAAATATTTTAAAAAAAATTAAATGGCGGTAAAATCAACTAGAAATTTGCTTACTTCCGAAAATAATAAGATATATTAAAAGTCAAACAGAAAATAGAAGTAATATAATATATTAAAAATTTGATAATTAATAAGGAATAAACCAAGTCCATAAATATTTTACTAACATTGTTACAGAATAAGACTATTAACGTATACTAATCTCTAATATGCAGTCCAATTTGATAATTACTTTTCTAACATCGCTACAGGATAAAATAATCAACTTATGCTAAACTTCAATAAATCTCTAATTTGAACTTAAAGAGAAGTAATTCGTGTACACAAAAGAATTTTAATATAATTCATATATAAATAAGCAAAAATTGGGATAATTATATATCAAGATGAAGTATACATCAAACTGAATTATAAGTTGAGATGAAGTATACGCTGTGATAAAGTAAATATTAAGATAAAGTACAGAACGAGATGAAAAGTGCATTATGATGAAGTGTATGTCAAGATAAAGAGTACAATGAGATGATATATACATTAAGAATAAAAATATATCAAGATAGAGTATACATTTAAATAATGTATACATAAAGATGAAGTATATATCAAGAAAATGAATTTTTAGTTTATGTATATATTACTTAAATCGCAAATAATATTAATGAATCTCAAAAATATATAAACACAGCACATAATACTAAAATTGTATGCTTTTTCAGAATAACAACAATAAAAACTAGATAACAAAATATTGAAGGAACTAAAAACAAGCATACGAGCACTTTTAAATTAACCCACTTAACAAAATAAAATATAGAATTTTCCAAACATAATAAAGCATTCAAGCTGGAAACCAAAAAAATCTGTTGATTTTGTCGAACCGAAAACTGGAACTGGAGTAAATTTTCTTTTATAATTGAACCGGTATATCTGATTCAAAAAGAAACAGGAAAGTAACATATAAAAGCTTAAATTTACAAAAAGGAAATAGTACTTTGAAATGTGGATGAAGTGAATTGATATCAAATGCTAAGATAACCATAATGAGTCCTAATTTCTTAAACAGATATTTAAAATCAATATCTTAATGTAATTTGATTTTAAAAGTTTTTCTTTGTAATATGCACATTAAATTTAATTTAAACAAAATTAGAAAAGAATATCTAAAATGGAAGATGGTATAGATTTTTTGAAACTAATTTAATATCAGTTAAAAATTATAAATAAATATAAAAACGGAATATGTATTTAGAATAACTGGACCTGAAATGATCTATGTTCGTTAAATTATATGGTTTAAAAATTAATATTAGATCAATTCAAATCCCACAAACTGAAAGTACCAGTATATTTATTGGTACTAAATAAAATAATTTATAGATGAATAACACATAGCAAAAGATACTGAAGAAAAGGCTAAATACTGGGAATTTGTTCAACAAACTTAACTCAAATAAAAATTTACTATCATATCAACAAAATAAATGTTATTAAGTATAATTTAAATAACCGCAATGTAATTTGATTAAATTTATATGAAGGAAACATGCTTACAGTGGTTAAAATTCAATGATAAAAATATTAATATAAACTGAAAACCACAGTAATTCTAAGTACCTAATTGATATGGTGGCCTATAACAAATAATAATAATAATCCTATGTCAAATATAGTTTAATAATGAAATGTATGCTAAAAATTTAATAAAAAATAAGATGGCTTGTATAAAATATATAAAACTACTAAGCATCACATACACTCCTTAACTTATTATAAAAAAAAAGCTATAGTGCGGCAGAAATACATTTATACTTCAACCAAACAGGATAAAAAATGGGTGATAAAAGGAACATCTTTAAACAAATTTTCTGTCAATTTATTTTAATTTGTTTATATTATTATAATTATATAAATTTATTTTAACTATATATATATCATTTTTATTTAATTTTTCTCTTTGTAAGCCCAAACTGTAATCTCACTTAAAACTCAAATAATGTTTAAATATTGTTAAGTTTAATCTCATTATATTAACCTAAATCAAGAATAACCGATGTGTGATTAATTAGCTGAGATTTGGAATTAATCAATACCTAAATTAAGTTATAAGAATCTTAACGCAATTAATAAATTATATGTGTCGTAGTTAATGTTTAATAAGCCCGTCATAAAAACTAAATTTTTATTCATATTATCCCAATGTTTAATTAAAATTAATTTTATATTATCGTGTAAAATCGTACCGTATTTTTGGTCAAATAAATTATTAGTAAAATTTTTTTGTATATTCATTGTGTCCAAATATATTTAAATGATAGCAAAAAAAAACGATACTTTTTCAATATTAATTTTATAATTCTTATTTTTACCAGAAGGAACGATAGTAGAAACGAACACATGGAGAAAGCAGCTAAATCTAAAGCTCTGAAATTAATATTATGGCTACTGATAAACCTAACGATATCCTTTTCAATTAAAGGTGGCTGTTATTGTAAACCGCTGAAATGTGGAAAGCGGATAACATGGAAGGATTTACAAGACAAATATATAGGCTAAGATGTGAATCGGCAATGATAAAGGGAATTCGGAAGTAGGGTTGAATAAGGGATAGAATTGAAATCAAACCGAGTCCTGATGAAGGTGGGTGATTCATTTTCTTATAACTCGAATGAGTTATAAGCTCGAATGAAAAAAGTAAAAACACACCTTATGACAAAACAAAAATTGGACGATCGGCATTCTGGTAGCAGATAAATCGCCTACAGTCTTGCCTTAGAAAACTTTATAATAGTGTCGAGAAAGCACTGAACCTCTTGGAACGTGAGTCTGATTTGAAATAAGTGTCTCAAATAGAAAAGGTAAAAGCACATCTCATGACAAAGTAAAAATCGGACTGTCGGTCTTGTGGTATAAGATAAATCGTGAGGCCTACAACTTTGCCTTAGAAGTCTTTAGAATAGAATCTAGAGTAACTATTGGATCATTCTTAACTGTCATGTAATGCAGCTGCGAATTAACAAATAACATAGGATAATAACGCTATCAAAAATTTTAAGCACATATGCTAAACTTTTACGGATAATGAGTATAAAGGATATATTAACATCGTCAAATTTTTCAGACCCAAAATTTCCTGTAAAGTATATATATTTTTTTGAAAACGACAATACAAATTCTTGTCTAATTATCTATTGGTTAACAAGCTAGTGTCGTTAGTTTTTACAGCTAATATATTAAATAGATGCACGATACTTCGATTTTTAACTTTTCCACTTTTGGAGATGATTTCGTGGTCCCAAAAATGACAAGTCTTAAGGGAAGAAAAATAGGTTTAATTTTTAATATTTATTGGAATTTAGATGTCAGTTCTTTAACCGAACAAATTTTTATACTATTCTAAAACAAAGTGATAAATAGACATATTGGGATTCGTCATTATTTCTTTCATCGAATGCTAATGCCTTTTCTTAGTGAAACAATATTTTTATCATCCATCACATCCACTCAATTGTGAATAAGTTTAGACAAAAATCGACAACAATAAAAATATAACCATTGATATAGATTACGTTTTAAACGGGTTGGAAACTTGGCACCGTCACGTCACGTCATCCTTTGACGGTTATTGTAAACCATCGATATAGAAAAACTTTTCTACGTAATCTCGTATTTATGTACTTACCTTTACGATTCCACTTTGAAGTCATGTGTGAAATGAGCAAAAATCTTCTGGAAATTTCGAAGCATAGTTTTAAAACGTGAAGCCAACTTTTGCACAAATATTAAAATATCTGTCAGCTGGACACATGATGAGAACCATTCATATCGTTTTGTAAAGACAATGGAAATAATAAATCAATAATCGTTTGCTATTTTAACCCACAAGATATCTTTTAAAAAATAAGAAGGAATATAAAATAATATATAAACATGAATTTTGACTGTTTATTTTGTTAATTTTAAATACTCATTTCTTTAACAAGTTTGAATAAGAAAGTTTTTTTTACTTTTAAACTTTTTTTTTAATAATTCTTGTAATTTTAGTATAATAGGGCGGGTATTGCAAATGCACAAAGGAGCCTTCGTCTATGCTTAAAGCATAGTAAGCTCCATAATGGCATTGACAATGTCATTATTGTTGTTCTTAAGCGCACGTATAGCCTTGGCTCGCGTGGTGTTAGCTTGGGTGATAACCAACTCAATGTCCTTTTCATCAACACCAGTATCGTCAACTTCTTCTTCGTCTTCCTCTGCAATTGGCGCAACAGACGTAGCAGCACCAATAGTATCAGAAGCGCCAGCAGCTTCAGGTGCCTTGAATTTCTCAGCAGCGGCAACTTGTGCTTGCTGTGAAAGATCTTCGATTTTAGCTTCACCGAATACAATGTAGGTATCACTTTGTGGATTCTTGTAGACATCCGGGTTATTTATAACAAAAAGAATATTCTTGGATTTGCGTATGGTTACACGGTTGACACCTTGAATTTGTTTGAGACCCAATTTAAGCATAATTTTACGTGCCTTCTTTTCACCACGAGATTGTTTAGCTTTGGATACGAGATCAATTGGCAAGCCGGTAGCACCGCCACCCAACTGTGTAGCTCCAGCACCAGCGTCTTCCAACTCAGGAATGGTATCCTCCGAATCACTGTCACTACCGTCATCCTCTAGACGTACATTCTCAGCTGGTTTGGCTTCAGCGGTAGCTGCAGTGCTAGCACTGGGCAGAGTAGTGGCTTCTACGGTATCATTTTTGATTTCAGTTAATTCAGGCATGTTTGTTTATATATCTGTAACACAAGCAATTAATTTGTTATCGGTCTAAAATAATGCAATATTTTATTGTAATTAAATATGTACACTTCTGTACAAGTGAGTAGAAAGGTCAAAAATTTAAAATGCTT